AAAAAATCAAAATTAAGTAAAATTTTAAAGTTGAGGGACTAAAATTGACATTTAATATATATTTTAACGTGATATAATATTTTTTTTTTTTCTAAACTCCTTGATATTTTGAAGAATGGATCATAATTAATTTCAAATCAAATCGAGTTAAATCTCATTAAGAGTAAAGCTATCTTAATATTTATTATTTTATTTATAAAACTCAAATTCAATAATTTATTTAAAGGAAACTAAATACCTTTTGTTTAAATTAACAAATCATTGATAGATATTTTTCTTATCAAACAAGCTATCTACTAACCACATACAATTTTTTCTTTTTTTGAAATATACTAATATGATACAATGACATAATAAAATTGTGATAAAAGTACTAACATAATACATTGAGAATGAGGTAATAATATTGTGACTAGTATTTACAGTGGCTACTGTATTATTTACGTTATAATATCACATAAATGCCATCATAATTATCTCCTTAAACGCATAATTACTGTGGGAAAGTTACTAATATGAGAAAGGCAAAGATAAGTACGAAAGTTCATGTAAAATTGTTTAAATATTTTTATAAATTTTTTTGTATATTAATTTATTAATGTATTTTAATTTTTTTCATTATTATCTTTGATAATTTAATTTGCATCAACCTATTCTAATATACTCTCATATACCATATATGAATATGAATGTGTAGTAAAGTGAAAAATCTGGAGGCCATTAAAGTCATTTCAAGTTTCACCAGTTTCACCAGTTTAGAAGAAATAGACCTAGCAAAATTAGATTTGACTTAAAAATTTGACCCTTGTTACAAGTCAAGTCATGGGTTTAAGACATTGATTTGAAATCCAATATCATTTAAATTGAAATTACTCATGTGTTATATTGCAAATCGAATCGAGTTAACTCAAGATAATCTAATTAGTTAATAATTTAAATAACTCAATGATTATTTCATTTTATTGGAAATAAGAAATTATGAGTTTGAGTTGTATGATATGTAGGTGAGGTGAGAAAAGGAATAGGAGATAATTGAAATTACTCATATGTTAGATTACGAATAGAATCGAGTTAACTCAAAGTAATCTAATTAGTTAATAACCTAAGTAACTCAATGATTATTTCATTTCATTGAAAATAAGAGGTTCTGAATTCGAGTCGTGTAACATGCAGGTAGGGTGAGAAAAGGAATAGGAAATAGTTGACTCCCATCGTGCAATCAAGATAAAAAAAAAAAAATCAAATTAAAAATTAATTATTTTTTAAAAATTTAAATTTTTATTAATTACACTTTAATTTTTATTTGTAAATATAAAACAAATTAAATGTATAAAATGATTATTATTTATTAAATTATTAGAATTAATATTAATTTAATACATTTTAACTAAATAATTAATTAACATTAATTTTTTTAAAAATAAAGAAAATATTAAAAAATTTTAACATTTTAAAAAATTAAGTCCATCCAACTTCATCTAAAATCTGTGTAGTTGAATTATAAATATATTATTTTTAACCCAAACTTCAAAATCACCTAACCCTATATATCTAAAATTCAAAATAACCTAATCTAAACCTAGTCGACTTGAGATGTTTGCTAATTCTAGTAAAAGAAAATGTGTAAATATTAATTTTATCAATTTACAAATAAAAATATTAATTTTTAACTTTTTCTATTTAAAAATTAATTAGATATTGATGTTAATGTGGCAAAGACTCTTATAAAAAATTAATATTTTTATGTAAAAAAATTAAAAGTTAATATTCATAAATAAAAGCCTTAAAATTGATATTATTATTTATAAACTAATAAAATTAATATTTTTAAATAAAAAATATAAAATTAATATCTTTGTTTGCATATTTTATCCTTCTAGGAAAAAACCAAAATGTTGCAATAGTTTAAAAAAAGAGATTCAAGTTTATGGGGCCAACTTTATATTAAAAATGTAATCTGTTTTATAAATTTATTTAAATGCCCTTAATGAAATATGATTTTTCTATCATGCACCCTTAAGTGCATATTAAGGTTGCAATAATGTATCAGTTTACAATTAATTTACATAAAAATAATAAAAATTGACTTAAATTTAATCAATTAACTAATTAAAATTATTTATATAGCAACAATACTAAAATAAAAATCAACTTTTGTCAAATTTTTATGTAGATTAATTGTAAAAGAGTACACTTATTACATCCTTAAGTTGTGCCTAGATTAAACAAACCCAATGAAATAATATAAAAAATAATTTTATTAAAAATATTTAAATAAATTTATAAGGTACACTCTATTTTTATATATAATTTATCTTTTAAAATATTTTTTTATTAAAAAAATATATTATATAGTTCATATTATATTAAATTAGACCATTATAACCACTTAATGAGAATAAATCCCTTTATATTAGACATCTCACTCTCATTTAAATTAATAATTTTTATTTTATAATTTAATATAATTTAAATTATAAAATATTATATTTAACAAAAAAAAAACGAAAAAAAGAAAAAGAAAAAGAAATAGGATATCTTCATTCTTCTCCACTTCCCTTGGTACAAGTTAGGTGTCCAGCCAAGCGGACAACAGTCTCTCACATTTCCCACTCAGCACAATTAATGTCAAAAAAAATTAATGTAAAAAAATAAAACAAAATCAAGAAATATTTTTCTTGGGAAAAACCAAAAGCAAAGAGAGATTTCCTAAACTCTTAAAAAATTGCATCTCTCTTCCTTCGAAGCACAAGTTAGAGTTGCAGTGGTGGTTGGAGAGTGGAGATGACGGGTTACCGAGCGGAGGACGACTACGACTACCTCTTCAAGGTGGTTCTGATTGGCGACTCCGGAGTCGGCAAGTCCAACCTGCTCTCGAGGTTCACCAGGAACGAGTTCAGCCTCGAGTCAAAATCCACCATTGGCGTGGAGTTCGCGACTCGCAGCTTGACTGTTGATGGCAAGGTCATTAAGGCTCAGATTTGGGACACTGCTGGCCAAGAAAGGTTAGCTCCCTGTCGTTTATTTCTTCTTCTGATCTAGATTTGTGAGTTCTTGTGTTTTTGGTTGTCTTGATCTATTGCTGTGATGCTCCTTTTTGGGGATTTCTTGTATTTTTCGAAGAATTTAGTTGCTGAAAATCTGGTCGCAGAAAAAAGTAATCTTGATTGTCCATGAATTTCATTTGATCTCGAATGAGATGAGCTTTGGGAATTATGTTGTTAGTTTGTTTACTGAACAAGATGGAGGGTTTGGGTTAAGTAGATCTGCAAGTAATATGGTCAGCATAAGTAGATCTGCTAGCAATACAACTCATAAAAGTGTTATGGTGTGTTCAATGTCTCAAATCTCAAAAATGCTTTGGTAATCTCTGGTTTCAAATATATCAGATAGGTTTGGTGAGTGGATTAGTAGATCTTGATATTCCAGATCTTATTAAGTCTGATATAACTACTGTGCTTTAATTGGAGATGTATGCTGGCTTTAGTTTGTGGTAATTGAACTTTATTATTTAAGCTTTATAAGATGTAACCATATCCAGTTTTGAGTTTCCTAACATTATTGACATTGACATCTCTCTTGTTGATATTTGTATAAAAATCTTGAATTTATGACTAAGGTTTTTGACAACAAGGCCAAGTTAGCTGCAGCCTGCAGGTGGTAGTTCTATGCATGTGTAGTGTTTGTTCATGTCAAACTCTATAAATGGTTTAAGGACTATTTTTTAAATTGGAAGTTAGACATTGAATAAAATTAGATACTAGTTCAAGGTATAAGGTATTATAGTGCATCTATTTTAATGAAAATCCATTTCTTTTGCTTAATAGATTATAAAATGTTCAAAATCCTACTCCTACATTAACATTCATCACTTTCCCTGGGGAGTCTTAAGTAGGTCAGTCGTTTACCTTTGTCTTTGATGAAGCAGCTGAAAATACGCCTAGAAGGAACCTCATTGTTATTAAACTTCTCTCACCAATGCATGTCGGTTGGTAAAGATATTGACTATAGCTATCGAACAAGAACTAGAGTTAGTACATTTATCATTGGTTTATCATGTCTGTTACCTTCTGCCTGTGTGTTGCTCATTACATCTAACCATTGTTGGTTGTCCTTGAGGGGCCCTGTGCAATTCTTTATCATGAGGCTTTTGTATGTTGTGTTGAGACATTTCTATCTGTGCTTTGAATTCCTAGTAGCAAGGATGCAAGATGACTAAATTGTTCTTTCAACACGAACTGACGAACATGATAACCATGAATTGTATCAAATTGCAATTTTGTTGTAGATCTTGTATTAATGTTTTCTTAGCTGAGATTTCAGCATTTGACTCTTGATTTGAATTCTTTGATATTTTAGAAGCCATTTTGGGTCTAATTAAGGATATGCAGTTGTTGAATGGCTGAGTAGGCATGTATTTTATCTTTTCATGGTTTATGGCATCATTATGAATGTTGCAACTAAAATTTTACCATTCTCCTATTGCTGAGTTTTTCTTATTTTTTATTTTTTTCATTAGAATCAACATTGGCCTTTTCTTCAGCTGCTGTTTTTTTCTGATCTGAACTTCTCTTTTTGTCTTTCCAGGTACCGTGCCATTACAAGTGCCTACTATCGAGGAGCTGTGGGTGCACTTCTTGTGTACGATGTTACCAGGCACTCCACATTTGAGAATGTTGAGAGGTGGTTAAGAGAGTTGAGGGATCACACAGATCCCAACATTGTAGTCATGCTCATTGGAAATAAATCGGATCTTCGTCACCTTGTGGCTGTCTCCACTGAGGATGGGAAATCCTTTGCCGAGAGGGAGTCTCTTTACTTCATGGAAACTTCTGCTCTAGAGGCTACCAATGTGGAGAATGCATTTGCCGAGGTTCTTACTCAGATCTACCATATTGTCAGCAAGAAGGCTATGGAGACAGGTGATGAGGGGGCTGCCTCTGGTGTACCCTCCAAGGGAGAGAAAATTGATGTCAGTAAAGACGTCTCTGCAGTGAAGAAAGCCGGGTGCTGCTCAAGCTAGCTTTTTTAATTTGAACTGAGCAGGATGTGGCTGGTGTTGGTTTGTAAAATCCTCTTGGAGATTGCCTACGGTAGGAGATAGGAAGAGATTGATTTACATTTTTCATTCAATTTTTCATGATAGCGTGTTATTGTCAACATACTTGAGAGGCTTAAAGCTTCAAGAGGAACTGGATATTACTTACATATTACACTAGTGCTTCCAGTGGGGTAGGTTTAAATCTACAGTACAGTTTTTACTTAACAAGTTCATAAGGGTTTTTTTTTTATTTTTTTTTAATAAAAAAAAATAATAATAAACTAATAAACTCTAGGGATACAATTGATGCGAAGTTCTTTTTTTGAGCAAAATTAATGAAAAGTTAAGGTCAGCTTAAGGTATTAAAAAAAGTGCACTGACAATAACATGTATTATTGGAAAAATTAAAAAGAAATATTTGTGAACGTTATATTTATATAAAATTATAATTTTTTATTTTTTATTTTTTATTTTTAATAATTAAAGTTATAGTATGGGATAATTAGGTAAAATATATATAATATGTGATATTATATATATATATATATTATATTATATATATCAATTAATTTTAATTTAGATACTCAAATTGTATTTGGATTACTTGTTCTTTTTTAATTGCATCATGGCACGATCTTGATTCTAACAAGTTTGTTGTTAGTGGGCATGACATAAGATGAGCTACTCTATTTATTACCTATTTATTTTATGTTAACAAGATTTCCGAAGCATTTTGATGATTGACTAAATCTTTACCATCCATCCATTGTAAGAATGAAAGGGTGCAATGTGAAATTTCGGTGTACTTGACCTAGATGGTTGCAGGATTTGGGGAATAATCATTTCCACGATAAGATACGATGAATAATTTTCTGAGCTTTATTTAGGTGAGAGATTGGACAAGATATGGGCCTTATTTTCATGAGATTGGATATGATTTTGTGGTACTTCACTCACAATAGGATTTTTATTAGGTGGTCTTGAGGCGGTGGAGTCTACAGATGCTGGCTAGGTATGTGACAGCCGGATTTGACAGCCGAATTTGTTAATTCAATTAACTGACTCAATAGTTAAAATTTTAAGATTTTAAATTAAAAATTTAAAATTTAAAATCGTAAGTTTAAATTTTAAATTGAATGCGGAAAAATTTAGAAAAAAAAAAAGAATTAGAGAAAGCGGAGGGTTATTCTCTCTTACATAGTCTATTTAAATGTAAAAACAAAAAAAAGTTGGATTTGTTAGTAAGTGTTTTCTTCTATCTTATATTCACAATTTAAATTTAAATTTTAAAGAGTTTACATTTTTTTTAAGTAATTATAATTACAATTGTTCAATGTAAGACATACTTTTAAAATTAATTAAAGAAAAATTAGTTTTGAGGTGAACATTAAGTAATTTAAAAATATTCTAATTAACAGTACAAATAAAAAAAAAAATTGTTGACTAGTAGCTATATGTTGGTGGCCCATGATGGTGAAGGTCATCGTGTAACAGCTGCTTGGTTTAATTTCCAACCCTCTCATGAGGCCTGAGCTGGTAGCTGTTCTATTTATTCAACTTGATTTGAGGTCAGATGGATGCAATGGAGATATATGACAGGGACTGGGATTGCATAATGAAGACACATACTTAATAACAAGATCTTGAGTGGTTGCAATGCAATATTTCATTCACAAACTTCTCTAAACTTCATCTATATTTATCAAAAAAAAAAAATGTATGGACAAAATGCAAAATATCAAGAGTTCAAGTTTATTTGCCCATCACTATTCTTGAATAAATAAACTCTTCTCAAATAATTGAGTCATGAATAGTGACTCCAGAGTCATGAGTCATGGCATGGGCTGGAAAAATGAATAGGAGATTAAGGGACTAAATCCATTATATAATATTATTAAGGCTGCTAATTTTATCATTAACTAGTAATCCTAATAGTTTAATTTATGTATCCCAATGCAATATCGGATAGATTTGGTTTTTTTTTTTTTTTTTTTTAATGAAACGATTTGGAATTTGATCATCCCTGACGTTTCCGTGACTTAGGTGACGCACGAGTGATATGACCCTTCCGGGGTTGCAAAACTAATCTCTTCCTGTATTCACAGCTTAGAGGTTAAGTAATAAGTATTTAATTTCCACATTTAATTATTCGCCACAAAAAAAAAAAGGATAATGAAATTTAAAAGTCAAAATAATTTAATTACAATACTGCATAATATTATAAATTTACATTATAACATCAGATGTATTGATATAATAAGTTTTTATCACTGTTTATTCATTTAATGACATATTATAATTATAACATTAAATTATTATTTGGTACATATATTATAGTGTTGTCGTTTAAAAATTAATTTTTTTTTGTACAATGAGAGATAATCATCTTTCATTTCTTATTACACCCTATTTACATGCGATACGATTCAAATTTAAAATCTCTTACTTTCAACGAAAATAGATAATCACAAAATTATTTATATCATTGGTTTAAAAATTAGTTAAATCATTGAATTAGTTTAAGATCAACTTGGGTCCTCCAATTAATCCCTCTTATTTGGCCTTCCAACTCTTTTTCTTAATTTATACTTATAGATCCATCACATATTATATTATGCCGCATCTTTTTCTTAATCTTCTCTTAACTAATGAGATTAGTTAGGGTACAAGCAAGATTAGCAATGTGCAACTATGACCAAAATGAAGGATATGCATTCCGTGGAATATCATGCGCAGCTAGCCCACATTTTAATTATCACCTAAAAGTCAAGACTTCTAGTTTTCTTTGACTCTGTAGTTTGGTCCGCCAGTCATTTGAAGCAGCATCCAATTGGAACTAAGAGATTCTTTCACATCCAATTTTGTGATCCATGACCATCCAACTTGTCATTTGACCATAAGCCATAGATTTTTTTTTTTTTAAAAAAAAAATTTAGATGGATAAGAAATGATTAAGAAAGAAAATGGTTTTATCTCTTGCTATATGACTTGTACTCAAATATAATAGGGGGAAAAAAAAAAGTCAATCATCCATGTGCTTAGTAAGTTGCTGATAACTTCAAAGAACTTGAGATTAATTAGTTTTAAGAGGTGGACTTAGCTAGTGAAAGGGGTTTCTTAACTGATATTTTGGCTCACGAAGGAGAATGCAAAGCAATAATTTATCAAGAATACTTTCAATTTTAGCATGAAGGATTGTTTTTATTAAATTTCTTGTTTAGAGTGATACTTGATTGTTGTGTTATATGATGGAAGTACTTCCTTTTCAATTCCCATTTCCCATTGCTTCAATACGAGATAGGGAATTAGATTTAAGACCTCTATTTTCAAGAACACAGAAAATTCAAATTGCATATTTTTATTTAGTAACATCTATAAAGTTTTTTTTTTTTTTTTTATAGTAATTGAGTTCAACGTTTTACAATATGGACTACACCATATCTATCACAAAACATGAATTATTAAACAGGATAATAAGTTCTTGTCTTATGAGGTTTATCTGTTATTTAATAATTTAAATTGTATTAAACTACACTGTTTTTTTTTTATAGTAATGTTACTTCAAAAATGTTTTCTTTTATAATTTTTCATGTACTTAAAAATATTAATTTGAGATTAAAAAAAATAAGAATACATTTAATAAATCAGAAATGCATGAAGATTCACTAATGATGATGCTTTTGTTCTTTCCCACAGTGCACTGATATTTTAAAGTACAAGATTAATTGACAAACAACATTCTCATATTAATTTCACCATCTACATAATTTTATCTTGGGGGTGTTTAATTCGATTGATTTTACCAGCTTATAATTTCTCTTCCTTAACAATTGGTTAATGTGTTTGAAAGAATCCGTCTAGTAGATTATTTGTATGAACTTTTTTGATATAATTTATACTTAATAGTTAATATTTAACAACTTATAATCATTATTATTTTCAATTTAAAAAATCTAATTAGTTTGATTAAAATTAATAATTTTTTTTTATTTTAGTTACACAATGAGAAGTAATCATCTTTTATCCTTAATCCACTTTACCTGCATGTTATACAACTCAAACTTAAAATCTCTTATTTTCAACTGAAAAAAATGAGTACTGAATTATTTAAATCATTCTCAATTAAAATTAACAATTAATAACTATTTTTAAAAAATCAAAATAAACACTCCTTATAAATTAATTTTATATTGTTAAATAATAAATATTAATTATTTTATTAACTATTAACCAATTATTACATGTTTCTATCACCTAAACCAAATAGAGTCTTCCGAAGCAACTTTCATCAGAATAGCTCCAATGCTTCCCATGTCGGTTTGTTGAAATTTCTTGGCACCAAATTTAATAATGTAATAACCATATTTTATGAGCAGCCAGCCCATCGAATAAATTACTGAATTAATAAACATAAATTTCCCGACACTATGGGCTGCAAACAGCCGGCAATGCTGTTAATTACAAACAAAATAACATACGACGACAGCATTTCTGAATCCCCCAATTTTTTTTTATTTCATTTACTACATCGAAATCAAGGAAAAGAAAAGTAATTCCTTAAAAAAAAAAAATTCAAAGAGATGATTAAAGATTTACTCAAGATTAAAAAAAAATATATTTCTTTTCCTTTTTTTTCTGTTTTTTTTTTTCTAATCTTGTGGCACACTGTATGCAAGCATACCGTCGAACACAACGACTGCAGCCACGTGTCAGCAGATCCCCACCTGTGGTCCTACATTCCTCTGGTGCCGAAACACCACCGAGCACTCCGGCAGCTCCCCGAGATCGGCGAACAACGACTCGTCCTCTTCTCTCATCGGGAAAAGCATCGCGACGTCAGCCCCGTCCGCTGTACTACTCTCTGTAAATATCGGGCACTCCAGCACCGTCGACGTCGTCGTCACCATTTCCCCAAACCACGCGAACTCGTCGCCAGTGGGGAGGATCGTGTCGTCGGCGAGATCCGCGAATTTTTCTTCCGGCCCAGGGATGGGTTCCGTGTCAGGCTGTGGGGTGGACGGTTCGGTCTTGACGGCGGTGGCGACTGGTGCGGCCGTCGTTGTTGTCGAGCTTGCTGTTGCGTGTTTGGCTGCGGCGTTATTGCTTCTAGAAGCGGGCAAAGGGTGATTGTGTTCGCAGGAGTACGTGATCACCAGCGTCGTAGGGTCCACGCGGCTCCTCTCTACTTGTTTCCTCGCTGGGCATCCCTTGGAACTACTACACCTGTAATACCCCCTGCCACATGATAAATCACTAATCTTGATTAACAGTTGATGATTACAATAATAAAACAGTAATCTACACCGCATTTCAGCCTAGTAACCCCTCCAAAATTTCACAAAGTAGTTGAGTTACCTGGGGTATGGAGAACCTTTGATGGGTTTTTGGCCGTATTTTCTCCAAGCCCAAGAATCCGACGGCGGAGCACTCTCCCCCTTGAGACGGGTCACCTCAACGTCCTTGATCGGAACTGACACAACTCTTTTCTGTATGGATCTCCGACTGTAACAAAACCCCCCACTACGTTCTTTCAACCACGGGAAAGGGAAAAACATAATGCCCAGATAGAAAATTTATATTTCCTAAGAGATTTTGTTTTGTAATTTGGTAATTTCAAACGAATGGGAGCTTTTAATATTAGACTTTGTTCTTTATTTTAGATTATTATTTTATAATTTAATATCATCTAAATTGGAAAATAAATTTGGTGTATTAAATAAAAATAAAAATTTTGAATTTAGCAAGGAGAATTGGAAATTACCCTTTTTTGGGAGAGGAAGAGAGCTTCATGTCGTTGGAAGTAGGAGATGAAGGCGAGTCAGGGACGAGTTCTTGTGTGTTGTCGTTCTCTTCTTCAGTACTGATAAACGGATTGGGTTTGAAACTGCCATCCATGCTTCCAAGTTCCAATTTTGGGTGCCGATATTATCCAGTAGAGACTGTCCTTTGCTTGATTTTCAGAAAATTTGGCAGGTAATCTGTTGCCCAAAAGGAGAGAAAAAGAGAGCTTGAAAGGCAGCAAAAGTGGGAGAGGGGGGGCGAGGAGAAAGGAGAAAGGAGAAATGAGAGAAGGTGAAGAAAGCGAGGGGTGGTCCTTTTAAAAATGGGGCGTCATGTTGACAGATGGTGTTATGGGATTTGTTCATATATAGGACGTGCAAGCAAATGTGAATTTAATCCAAAACCTTATTGATTGTGTATCATTTAAAAATGACCCTCTCTTCTTTTGGACATTTGATTGGAGTTTTCTGATTGCTATTCCCTCTTTGTTTTCTGGGACAGCCAACCACTTTCTCCTTGCTCTCTTGTCCTTTTTCATTTTCATCTCCCTTTTCTTTGTGGGTGTTGGGTATTTGGTGCCAATTAGGCTATGCAAGCTTTGCACCTTTGTAAAGAAAACTAGGCTTCTTTTGAGCATACTTTGCACAAATCTTTTTCATATAATATATTATTTAAAACATAAATTTATTATTTTTAATTAATTTTTTTGATATTTTTAGTAATTTTAATTAATATTTTATATATTTTTAAAATAATAAAAGATAAAAAAAACATATGACCATAAAACAGCACAATGCAACTTTAATAAATTAACCAAGTCTTAATCACCTAACAATTTAGCAATAATGTCTCTCTTATTTATTTTTTATTAAAACTTTTAACTAAAAGTTTTGAATTTGAGTAATTTATTATTAAAATTCTATTCAAGCAATATTTTTATAAAGTATCTGTCTTTTAAAAGAAGAAAGAAACAAAGCTCTGCAACGAAGAAAGAGCCGGTTTTGATTTATTTCCCACATGTTGTTTCGTGGCAATGAAGGGGGATTGGACGAGATTTGAGTTTATCCATATCCATATACTCGATTAATTAATTTTTTAGTTAATGATTAATGGAAAATTTCAATGATGATGAGCTCATTAAATTTGGATTTATTTTCCATCAATATAAGCATGGCACTTGCCCTCACCAACTTTTACCATGTCCTCACTTCTATTTCTCTCCGCTTCTTACATCATATCAAAACTCAGATCAATTCTATATTTAATTTAGAGAGAAAAAAAATGTAGTACTACATTTCAAATGGCATGCATATGGATTTGATTTTGGGAGGGGGGGGGGGTGAAAGATGGTATATGAGATTTGCAAAATAATGATGTTTTTGTTAAAAGATGATTGTATCTGCGAAAGCTAACATTAAATTCCAAAGGATATTTGTGAGAGATCGATATGACTCTCCACCAAGCTTGAGGGACCAGCTGATTAAGAAATTCTAGATTAGCTATCTAGAGGGAAAATAAGTGCTAAGTGAAGAAATTAAGCCTAGTTTTAACCTATTAATAATGATCTAAATAGTTTAGTAGTAATTTTTTTTAAGTATAAATAAAAGATTTTAAGTTTGAATTATATAATATATTGATTGCAAGATAATTTTTGAATGGCTACCCATCTATAGAAGATGGGTTGAATTATATAATATATAAGTGGATGTAAGTTAAGGATTGAGAGAGAGTTTACTCACATTGTGTAACCCAAATTTAAAAGAAAAATCTAATTTTAACCTTCCATTAATAGTACTTTTAAAAATTACTGTTCACAATCTATAACAAGACTCAAAACATAAACTCAGTATTCCATCTTGCCTATGGGGTGGTAGTCTTGTTGTAAGGAAGTCATGATTCAATCTAGGTGATAGATATAAGAAAGATAATTTTTTTTTATGAATTATTTAATATATGTTCGTGTGAGTGGTCTATTTTTCATTAAACCAAGAAGACAAACTTAATATAAATTTTTTATTTTATAATTTAATATAATTTAAAATGTAAAATGATTTTTCAACTTAGTACTGTGTGATTTATGAAAGTACTCATTTTAATATCTAACTATCCCCCAAACCACACCAATTCACCAGTCTTGGATTTTTTAGTGCAATAAGCAATTTTTATAGGGGAGTTGATAGAAACAATTATCAGTTAGATCGAAAATATATGCCATCGCCATGATATAATCGCCAAGCCTTTGTTTGATTGGATAAATTAATTTACAATTTATTCTTGTTTTAATTTATTTATATCAACTTGAAAGTTTAAAGTCTCGTTTTTCAGTTACAATTTCCAATTAATTATTTAACCATCCCCTGTCATCCAATTCTGTTTATGTTGAAAAAAAAATTATTTATTAGTAACAACATTTTGTTTAGAAATTATAAGAATGCATTGTATATTAAAAGAGCAGTTTATTCTATTAATTTATTTAAAAGATGCACTATATTTTTAATGTACATTCATTGTGTAAAATACTTTTTTTGTTTTATTTATCTAACCTATGCCATAGTTTATTGAAAAGTAAAAATTTATCTTTAAATTATTAATTATTTAATTAAATTCATTCATTTAATATCATCAATAAAATTAATACAATTTTTACAATTATATATATATCTTAAAAAACGTGTTATTAATATGTATCTTAAAAAGTAAAAGTTAGAAAAACTCATTCTTAAAATATGATAGGATAGTAATTTTTATTAATACTTGTCACTCAATAAAAAATATGAATTGATATATATTTGATATTATGTGATTATTATAAAAAAAATTTATAAATAATTTTTTTTGTACAATTATATACAAATATTGAAACCATTAGTCATATAATTTAATAGTAGAGTTATTTGTATTGGGTTTAATTCCTAATTGCTAAAACAGATAATAAACATTGTCAATAAATTAATTTTGAAAACAAAAATTAAGCATTCTTAAATACTTTTTGTTTTTTGGGATCGCTTGCTTAAATTCAGGCTGACTGGGTCGCGAATATATGATCAATCTCTCACAAACGTGAAAGGGATGGAAATTGGCAATGTGAATATGCTCATTTGTCAAATCAATAATTAAAAAAAAAAACTATTAATCTTCCCATGGTTCATTTGTTGCGTGAAGCAATGTGACAACGAAACTTAAATTTTTTTTCCTAACTAACACTAGGCTTAGAATTTTTTATTAAGTGCATTGAATGACTTTTATTGGTTGGATTTTTATATTCATTTCCGTCTCTGACTTCCTTCACTTACGGCATCTTCCATGCCAGCTTATGTTTCATTAATAAGAAAATAATTTTAAATGAGTCAATATTCACTTATAAACATATAATTCTTACATAAATTATGAATATTTTATTTTTAAATATTTCAAATAATTAAATTTGAGTATTGAAGAAAGAAAGGAGAAGCTTCCTCGTGATTTCCTCTTTCCACATATGCCATTTGTAACCGTTATCAATTATATCTTTAAGCCAACTGGGCTGTGGTCCAATTAGTTGGCCTCCAATCTTTAGGGTTTGGATGAGGCGGAGGTCAGAGTTTCGAGCTCTGCCACCGTCGTAAACTCCACCAACTTATGACCTAATGATCGCGTGCTTCAAATGAGGGGTGAAACGTTCACTTTCTTGAAAAAATTTCAGTTGCTAACAAACTAACTCTACTAACTTCCTAACCATCTACCTGGTAAAAAAAAAAATTATATCTTTAAAATTAAAATATTAATAAAAAAATATCATTTTAATAATTAAAAAATTAAACTTTTTAAAATGCAATAAGTTTACGTTAGATATGAGTACTTAAAATTATTTAAAGAGATAATTAACTAATCTTAAAGAATATGCAAATTGTAATGAGAACACCATAAAAAGAGAATTGCTAGCAATTAAGATTCGAGAAATTTTGAAATTAAAATTTTTTTTTTATTAACCTCCTTATATTTGGTAAATACATTAGATTTTGATTAATTACTAGCAATTACGATTTGAGAAATTTTGAAATTAAAACTTTTTTTTTATTAACCTCTTTATATTTGATAAATACATTAGATTTTGATTAATTTAAAATCAAATCGTATTGAACTTCATTTTGAGAAAAACTCTTTTAGTGTTTATTTTTTCATTATAAAACTCAAATTTAAAATTTTTTTTTATTTAAAAAAAATTAAGTTGTTTTCATTTAAACCAACAGTTCGTTGGTTGGAATTAAAACCCTTGCATCCCAACATCCAATGGAATGTACTGCACATGCCTCGTTGAATGATGAGCCATCTAAACAAAGGGATCTGATTTGATCCGCAAAAGCTAGCAGTCCAGGTGAATGCATGCATTTTTATAACCTTATCCATGACTTTGCTTAATCAGTTAGCCAATATTTCCAAATTAGTTTGTTTCGCAAGTTTGTTTCGCATTATTTTATCAAACAGCTTGTTCTGTCTGTAATGTCGGCCTAAAACAATTATTGTTAGAAATTGTTTATGTTGGTCTTGGTCCTCTTTTGTCTGTCACCAGACAAATATTGAAACAGGAATGAGAAATTAGGGAAGAGTTATTTTCAAATGCATAATTCGGGTTGAAGGAGAGTGATGATTTAGATCTTGGATTCTTTTTCTCTAAAA